CAATCAAGAACCAGTTTTCTGTTTTCAATACATTCAATGACTTAGTCTCCACAACACACTGCAGTAGTGAGTTCCACAGATTAACCACTCTCTGAATTAATGCCTCGTCATCTCAGTTCTAAAGGGTTGCTCCTTCAAACTGAATCGGTGCCCTCGGGTTCTAGTCTTTGCGACTAATAAAAACATATTTTCCACATCCACTTTACTTAGGCCTCTCAGTATTCTAAAAGTTCAATCAGATTCCCTCCTCATCCTTCTAAACTCCACTGAGTACACACCCAGAGTCCTTGCTGCTGATCATATGAGGAGCCCTTCATTCCCAGGATCATTCATGTAAATGTTCCCTGGACTCCCTCAATCTTTCGCTGGCTATAATCAGTCACTGGATCTGAAATGTTGACTCTTGATTTCTCTGCACAAATGCTGCCAGACCTCCTGAGATTTTTCAGCAATTTCTGTTTTTGTTTCTGATTTCCAACATCTGCATTTCTTGGATTTTTTTTTTTTTTTTTTTTAAATATAGTTTCCTATCTTCTGCCTCCCCTGCCTTTGTAAACACTGGTATTACATTAGCCATTTTTTAGTTATCTGCGATGTTCTGACTTCAGGGAGTCCTGAAAGATCACCAGTGCCTCCACAATCTCCTCGGCTATCTTCTTCAGAACTCTGGGGTGTAGTCCATTTGGTACGGTTGACTTATCCACCTTCATAACTTTGAGCTGCCCCAGCGTTCTCTCCTTAGTGAAGGCCTTTATACTCACCTCTGTGCCGACTCTTTGTGATAAGTATCAATTCAGGTCCTCTGCTATTTCTGTGCTTTCCATTTCTACTTCTCCAGCCTCTTTTTCCAGCTGTCCAATGTCCACTCTTGCTTCTCAGACTTTTTATATATCTAAAGAAAACCTCTTGCATTCTTTTTTCATTTTACTAACTAGCTTACTCTCATTTCATCTCCTTCCCCCTTATTGTTCTTTGTTCATAGTTATCCACTGCTGAGTTTTAAAGGCTTCCAATCCTCAGGCTTCCCACTCATCTTCACCACACTGCTTGATTTTCCTTTTGCTTTTATGCTGTCCCTGACTTCCCTTGTCAGCCATGGCTGCCTTGTCCTCCACTCATTATGTTTCTTCTTCCTTGGGATGGATTTCTGCTGTGCCTCGCGAATTACCCCCAGAAATTCCTGCCATTGCTGCTCCACTGTCTTCCCTGCTAGGCTCCCCTTCCAATCAACTCTGGCCATCTCCTCCCTCATGGCTTTGTAGTTACTCAATTGTAACATCATTCTATCTGAAGTTACTGTTCCATGGGTTCACTGTCCTCCATGGCAGCTCATGTATTTAAAACAATAAATCTGGAACATTAACTAGTCTCAGTAACAGTGCCATAAAACTACCTTTAATTGTTGTAAAAATGCACGTAATTCACTAATATCCTTTAGGGAACAAAAATCTGCCTCTTCACCTGGTCCGGCATACAGGTTACAGAAATGTAGTTGAATCTTAATCCTAAATCTTAAACCTCTGCAACAATTTAATGGGAATTAGGGATAGAGAATAAATGCTGGCCATGCCAGTGACACTCAGTTCACGAAGGAATAAAGAAGAAACATATTTGGCAGTTCATAAGATAATAATATTTTGGAACAGTAGCTTCAAATAAAGATAAATTATGGGGGCCATGTGTCATGTTCTGCAATCTGCTTGACAGCAGTCCTGTTTGGTTTGGTTGTCAGAAATCAAAGGACAGCTTAGATGGTTTTACTGAGAAGGTTTTTATGCTTGGAGACGATGGCAGTGGTACAAATTTAAAATAAGTAATGTCTCAGTCTCTCAAGATTGCTGAAAGGTGTTGAAAGTATCGAAAATAATTCTGCTGTAAATGGCCTACACTTCTAAAGATGAAAGAAAATTGAGATCACTTATAGGTTATTAGCATTGCTAGTTACGTATGGGATCAATATTCTTTGATCCCTTTAGCCCTAAATGCAATATCCAATTCTTTCTTTAAAATCATACTATGTTTTTGCATCGATTGTTTTCTATGGTAGTGAATTCCACAGGCTCACTTCCCTCGAAGAAATTTTTCCTTAACTCAGTTCTCAGTTTACCTTGATCCTTAGAATGTAACCACTGATTCTGGATTCCCTTATTATCTGAAGCATCCTTCCTGCATCAACCCTGTCTGGTCCTGTTAAAATCCGGTAAGTTTCTAAGAGCTTCCCACCTCATCCTTCTGAACTCCAGTGAATTTAATCCCAACCAATCCAGTCTTTCTTCATACATCAGTCCTGCTATCCCAGAAAGCAGTCTGTAAATCTTCAAAGTACTCTCCCTCTGTATCAAGAGCATCCTTCCATAAGGAAATCAAAACTGCACACAATATTCTAGTATGGTCTCACCAAGGCCCTGTATAATTGTAACAAGACACCCTTACACCTGTATCTGAATCCTCTCACTATGAAGGCCAACATATCATTTGCCTTCATTACTGCCTGCTGCACCTGCATGCTTATCTTCAGCGACCAGAGTACAAAGGACACGCAGGTCTCATTGCACATTACTCTCTCTCAATCCATCGCCATACCAGTAATAATCTGCCTTTTTTTGGGCTACCAAAGTAGATAACCCCTTATTTATCCACATTAATTTAAGGGGGAGGTGATGGCCGAGTGGTGTTATTGCTAGACTGTTAATCCAGAGACCCAGATAATGCTCTGGGGACCTGGGTTCAAATTCCACCATGGCAGTCGGTGGAATCGGAATTCAATAAAATATCTGGAATTTAGAATCTAATGACGACCATGAATCCATTGTCAACTGTCAGGAAAGATCCATCTGGTTCACTACTGTCCTTTAGGGAAGGAAACTGCCATCCTTACCTGGTCTGGCCTACATGTGACTCCAGGCCCACAGTAACATGGCTGACTCTGAAATGCCCTCTGGGCAATTAGGGATGGTCAGAGATGCTGCCTAGCCAGCAACACCCTCTCCCGTTAATGAAAAGGGGAGAAAAAAAAAAATCTGCCATGCATTTGGCCACTCACTCAGTCCAAAACTGAACGGTTCAAGAAAGCCGCTCACCACTATCTTTTCAAGGGCAATAAAATGCTGGCCAATGTCTACACTGTAGAGATGAAGGAAAAAAAAAACTGGATTGATACTGAAATTTTGTCAATGAATTTAAATATAACTATTGAAAATGGGTTTCATCAGGTTGAAATCTTACTCAGTCACAAATCAACTGACATATCATTTTGAAATTCCTGAATTTGAACAATTCTGGAAAATCTTAATGCATTACTGCTGAACAAAATTAGGACTAACAAAAAACTGTCAAAACACTAAGTTATGCAAGTTAACAATTTTTCTTTTTAAAGCACTCCTAAACTAAAAGCTGTCCACAAGACAAGGGCATTCAACTAGTACATTCGAGTTACAAATTACTACTTCAGGGATATATACACCAAGTTATCTCTAATCTTCAGTACTTGCCAGGGTCTCTCTATTCACAGTACAATCCCCATATGCCCTCCGTAAGGTCAGTACCAGCACTGAGCTCGGCAGAACACAATAGAAGTAGCTGTCTAGTCATAAAAATACTCTTCAAATATCACACATTGCTTCCTGTCTCAGCCAATTTTGGATCTAACCTGCTACTTTGCCTTGGATCCCAAGAGCTCCTCTTTCTTGCCACTACAGACCTTATCAGAAGCTTTTCTGAAGTCTATGTAGACCACAACTAATGCATTACCCTCATTAACACTCCTGTTAACTCAAAAAAATTTGATCAAGTCTGACAGATAAAACTTTTCCTTAACAAATCCATGTAGACTATCTTTGACTAATTCGTGTCTCTCCAAGTGCAGATATTTTGTGTCTCTCAATTCTTTCTAAAACCTTCCCTACTACTCAGGCTAGATCCACTGGCTTGTAATATCCTGGTCTATCCATCTGAAGATGCTTCTTCATTGATTTTATATAATCATTAGATAAAGTGCAGAAAACAAAAATCAGTGCTGTGAAGACACTGTTCCTTCACCATTGCTGCATCAAGACCCTGGAATTTGCTTTCTAACAGAAACGAATGTATCAACACATGGACTGTCACAGTACAAGATGGTGGCTCATTACCACTTTCTCAAAGGCAATTTGAGGTTGGCAACAAATGCTGGTCTAGCCAGTGATACCCTCATTGAATAAAAGTATTTTATAAAGGAACCATATAAATTCAAGTACATGTTTTTGATACACACATCTACATTAGGTAAATGAAAACCTGCTAACTTTGTATACAAATAGTGCCCTACCAATATTAGATACAATAGATGGCTAATCAAGAACAATTCAATCTCACCATTGAGTTCTGATCCCAGGAATTTTATTCATTCAGATGATGTGAATGGAACTGGCTGGTCTAGTATTTATTATCCATCCCTAGTTGCCCTGAGAATGTGATAGTGAGCTACACTCTCGAACTGCTGCAGTCCATTTGCTGTATGTACACATATTTGTCTCAAATTCTGTTTCGTTGCAAATATTTCATGTGGCTGATACAGAATCTTTAATTTCTTACTAATTTGCCACAAGGGGCCTTAGTTGCTAAAGCTTTCTCTCTGGTCCACCCTAAAACAATCAGCATAATTTCATTTATATTGGTACTCTACTGTATAATCTTGACTTTTCTCTTCAGACTATTAAACTTACCCTTACTTCCCCCTCTCACCAGTATAAAGGTTCATCTGCTGGTTTGGTAGCTTGTTTTGCATGTACATTGGCTTCAATCCACCCCTCCAAAAAGAACAGCTACTTTCCTCACTATTGGTGCCAGTGGCAAAGGCATTGAAACAGCTTCCCCCAATACCATTGTTTTATCATCATTTGTTTAAGTCAGTTTATACCCATCCCAATTTGTATTTGGGATAGGTTGTAATTCAGAGGTTACCTACATTGAGGATATGCTTTTTATTTGAGCTCCTCAAAGTTGCTCAGGTTTAATTAGGAATGGTATTCTCCTACGTCTCAGTTCCTACATGGAATAGAGCAAATGAGTCTTCCCTGTCCAGCAGGTAATTTAGGTTAAGAGATAACAAGGTGTAGAGCTGGATGAACACAGCAGGCCAAGCAGCATCAGGGGAGCAGGAAGGCTGACGTTTCGGGCCTAGACCCTTCTTCAGAAAT